CACGCTCACAGCAACCTCCAACTCCTGGGCTCAAGCAAGTCTCCTGCCTCAGCCTCCCAAGTAGCTGGGACTACAGGCGCCCGCCACAACACCTGCCCATTTTTTGGTTGCAGCCATCATTGCTGTTTGGCGGGCCCAGGCTGGGGATTCAAACCTGCCACCTTAGGTGTATGTGGCTGGCGCCTTAGCCACTTGAACCACAGGCGCCGAGCCTGTTTCTTAGCTTTTATTTTTGCTTCTACTTTCAATTCTTACGTTTTCAGGAGTTTTAAACCACATTAAGAAGTAACCAGTTTTCCTGTGTTCTTCTGATTTATCTTACTCTTCTTCCTTTTGTAGATGGACAAGGCGTGAACAAACTGATTTCTATCGAGTTGTGTCTACTTTTGGTGTGGAATATGACCCCGACACCATGCAGTTTCATTGGGATCGCTTCCGCACTTTTGCTCGACTGGACAAAAAAACAGATGAAAGCCTTACTAAGTATTTTCATGGCTTCGTCGCCATGTGCCGCCAAGTGTGCCGCCTTCCCCCAGCAGCTGGAGATGGTAAGCAAGACTTTGGAGAGTCTAGGGTAGGCGGGAATGGATGGTGACAAAACCAACTCTTGGTTCATTTCTTCCACTCCTATCTCTTGTAGAACCTCCAGACCCTAATCTGTTCATTGAGCCCATCACTGAGGAGAGGGCTTCACGGACTCTGTACCGTATTGAGTTGCTTCGGCGCTTACGGGAACAAGTTTTATGCCACCCTCTTTTGGAAGATAGGCTGGCATTGTGTCAGCCTCCAGGTCCTGAGTTGCCCAAATGGTGGGAGCCTATTCGGCATGATGGGGAGCTTCTACGAGGGGCAGCCCGTCATGGGGTGAGCCAAACAGACTGCAACATCATGCAGGACCCAGACTTCTCTTTTCTGGCTGCCCGTATGAATTATATGCAGAACCATCAGGCTGGAGCACCAGCTCCATCTCTGTCACGCTGCTCTACTCCACTGCTACACCAGCAGTATTCCTCACGCACTGCCTCACCATTGCCCATTCGCCCAGATGCTCCTGTTGAAAAGTTACCTGAGGAGACACTTGCCCAAGTCCCCAATCTGGAGAGTCTGACTTTAAAGCTAGAGCATGAAATGGTGGCCAGGAGCCGACCAACCCCACAAGACTATGACATGCGAGTAGCCCCCTCTGAAACTACCCCTTTGGTTTCACGGAATGTTCCACCAGTCAAACTGGAGGATGAGGATGATTCAGACTCTGAGCTGGATTTGAGCAAGCTGTCGCCATCATCCTCTTCTTCCTCATCCTCATCCAGTTCCAGCTCCAGCACTGATGAGAGTGAGGACGAGAAAGAAGAAAAGCTAAGTGAGTGCATGTGATAGGCTGTTGGCCTTCTTCCCCCTTACTCCCCTTTCTGCTCTTTTCCTTTTTCTCAGTGTATCCTCTTGAGAGAGATTCACATATTGACTTGATAAACTATCAAAAGCGACCTGTTATTCTTTGGGACTTTTCAAAGCCCATGTAATAACATTATCATATAACACTATTCTCCCATCTTTTCTCACACTTAATGTGGGATCTCTAGCTACTGACCAGTCCCGCTCAAAGCTCTATGATGAAGAGAGTCTTCTGTCCCTCACTATGTCCCAAGATGGATTCCCAAATGAAGATGGGGAACAAATGACTCCTGAGCTGCTGCTGCTGCAGGAAAGACAAAGAGCCTCTGAGTGGCCCAAGGTAACATGTTGCCTCCTTCCTGGACTTGTAGAGTTCACAAATACCATGTAACATTGAATATGGCAGTGGTTCTCAACCTTCCTAATGCTGCAAGGTATTTTCATTATTAAAAAGGGGTTGCGACCCACAGGTTGAGAACTGCTGGTTTATAGGGAACAAGAAACAGATGGTTCTGTTTTTTTTTTTTTAATTGGGTTTGTTGGCTCAGTGAGTAGGGCCACCAGCCACATACATGGAGCGTAGCATGTTCGAGCCCAGCCTGACAACTGCAACCAAAAAATAGCTGGGTGTTGTGGTGGGCCTGTATAGTCCCAGCTACTTGGGAAGCTGAGGCAAGAGAATTGCTTAAGCCCAAGAGTTTGAGTTTGCTGTGAGCTGTGATGCCACAGTACTCTACTGAGGGTGACACAGTGAAACTGTGTCTCAAATAAAAAAAATTAAAATTGGGTTTGTTGCTACATGTTTTTTAATGAAACTTCCTAGTTGACTTGGGAATCTAATAGTATTACTTTCCTCCTTTCTGCCTTATGATTTTTATCCACCTGTCATGTGGCACTATTTCATGTCACAGGATCAGGTAGTGCTTACTCCCTTAATCATATTGATTTCTCTTGTCCCCCCTCAGGATCGTGTCCTGATAAACCGTATTGACCTCGTCTGCCAGGCTGTACTCTCAGGGAAGTGGCCTTCTAGCCGCAGGAACCAGGAAATGATAACGGGAGGGATTTTGGGGCCAGGCAACCACTTCTTAGACAGTCCTTCCTTGACTCCTGGAGAATATGGTGACTCTCCAGTTCCTACACCACGAAGTAGCAGTGCAGCTTCCATGGCAGAGGAGGAAGCATCTGCAGTCAGCACAGCAGCAGCCCAGTTTACCAAACTTCGCCGAGGCATGGATGAGAAAGAGTTTACGGTTCAGATCAAAGATGTAAGTTCAGCATTTACATGCTGGGAAATAAGGAATGAGGCTATGGGGCTACTGTCCTCACTAGTTTTACTAATATGATACTTAAAGTCATTTGATTAACTAATTTTGAAAATGAGGAAAAAATTAGCATTCACAAACATCCATTTAGGAAAAATCACTGAAATAAGGCAAGGAATCTCCTGAGGACTAGAATAAAAGAAACCATATTTTTGAAGGAAATTTAATTGACACAGGTTTTGGGGTGGCTCAAGGCTAGACCTAAGCCTGATTTTTTAGAAAATGAAATCAAATTATGGGAAAGCTGTTAAAAAGGACACCTAAGTATTGAGGGCCTTATTAAAAATAAAGAGGAATCATTTCTACTGAAATTAAACCAGTGTTATTTTTTGTTTTATAGACAAATTTTTATTTTTTCTGATCTCCTTCCTTACTAAACCATATTAGCTAGTCATTAAGTGCTCAAAAAAGAAGTTTCTTAAACTAGTATGTGACAAGGATAGCAGTATTTTGCCCCTGTGATGAGTTGCCATGCTAATACTGAGACACCAAGGAGGGTGTTTTACCCTACTTTGGGTGTTACTGAGATAAAGTCTATTTCTCACAAATTTACCTGAGGGGCAGGTCCTAGGTCAAGAAATGAAATCTTTGGGGCGGGGTGTTGTGGAGGGCGCCTGTAGTTCCAACTACTGGGGAGGCTGAAGCGAGATGATCACTTGAGCCCAGAAGTTGGAGGTTGATGTGAGTTATGACACTACGGTACTCTATCCAGGGCAACAGAATGAGAGTCTGTCTTTAAAAAAAATATCTTTCTAGGACAAAAATGTGTATGTTTCATTATATTTCTAATTTCTACTCTTTACTCAGATGGCCTTCTCACTGTCATTGAGCCAGTGTTCTGTAGCCCAAGTCCCCCAAAGCTTTATCTTGTAAAAGCACATGCCATGTGATGTTTTGGGTGGGTGGATTGTCTTCTTAGGAGGAAGGATTGAAGTTAACATTCCAGAAGCACAAGTTGATGGCTAATGGAGTAATGGGAGATGGACATCCACTATTTCATAAGAAGAAAGGGAACAGGAAAAAGCTAGTAGAGGTGAGTGGCAAGAAAAAGGTCTTTAATGTGATGATTAGATACAGTGTTTTTATTCCCAGTAATTGATGAAGGCAGTTGGGATTGAGGGAAGAAAGATATTAGAATAATCTGGTAACTACCATTGGCTCTGCTCCCCCTCCCTCCCTGCCCAAAGAAGAGTATGTGCTCATGGGGGTGGATTCTGGGTTTGCAGCTGGAGGTGGAGTGCATGGAAGAGCCTAATCACCTTGATGTGGACCTGGAGACCCGGATCCCTGTCATCAATAAGGTGGATGGTACTTTGCTGGTGGGTGAGGATGCCCCTCGCCGGGCTGAACTGGAGATGTGGTTACAGGGTCATCCAGAATTTGCTGTCGACCCCCGATTTCTAGCGGTGAGTGGCAGTCCTATTGAGAAAGATTTAAAGTTATTCCCCCCTTGGTATTTAAGCTGTGTAAAAAGGAGAAAGCATGCCTACCTCACCATTGTTGCAAGGATCAAAATAAAACGATGTTTAAATACTGTTAAAGTATTTCATAAACTAAATGCTAGGCTAATATTTACTATTAAACTATTATATAAACCACCTAATATTTTTTTGAGAAATCTACTTAATGACAGTTTTCCACTAGACTAATCCTTTATGCAGTAGGCATTTATTTGTCAAAGGAAACCTTAATAATTACTCCAGAAAAGATTTCTATTTCTCTCAGATAACTGATACTTTTCTATTGCAGTATATGGAGGATCGTAGAAAACAGAAGTGGCAGAGATGTAAAAAAAATAATAAGGCAGAATTTAACTGTTTGGGAATGGAACCAGTACAGACAGCTAATTCTAGGAATGGGAAAAAGGTGAGACTGAAGCATTACTACTATGTTCACACACTAGATACAATTATTAAGAAGCTCTCAATGGTGATTGTGACTAATGTTATTTATCTTTTCTCCAATGTATTTTTCTGAGAAAAATTATCTAAATTCATAATAAGGAAACCAGAGGTGTTTTTGTTCTATTTTTAATTTTTTTAAGGACATGGCTCACTCTGTCACTCAGGCTAAAGTAGTATTGTGATCACAGTTCACTGTAACCTCAAACTCCAGGGCTCAAGCTCTCCTGGTTTAGGCTCCCAAGTAGCTAGGACTAGAGGCATGAGCCACCGTGCCTAGCTAATTTTTGTAATTTTTTTTTAAGAGACAGGGTCTTGCTATATTGCCCAGGGTGGTCTTAAACTCTGGGCCTCCACCTATCCTCCATGCCTTGGCCTCCCAAAGTGCTGGGGATCATAGGCATGGGCAGGTTATTTTTATTACTTTTATTTTTTTGCAGTTTTTGGCCAGGGCTAGGTTTGAACCTGCCACCTCCGGCATATGGGGCTGATGCCCTACTCCTTTGAACCACAGGCGCCACAACAGGTTATTTTTTTTAAGTACCAAATGTATTCTGAATCACCTCCGGAGTATTTTTAATGGTATTTTTATAGTCCTATGGTATTTTCCTTTCTAGAAGTACATAAAATTCTACAAACTAACTTTAGTTCTTAAAGCTAATGAAAATAAAAGAATTAGTAAGATGTGTTAGAACATTTTTGGCTTATCCTGTCCTGTTGAATAACTAAGAAATTTTTGGCAATCGTTTAATCTCTTTAATTTTCACATCCTGAATAGTGAGAGTTGGAGACGGAGTGTCAAGCTGTCACCCTGGGTAGAGTGCTGTGGCATCACAGCTCACAGCCACCTCAAAGTCTCGGGCTTAAGCGATTCAGTATCCCAAGTAGCTGGGACTACAGGTGCCCACCACAATGCCCAACTATTTTTTGGTGCAGTTCTCACTGCTGTTTGGTAGGCCGGGGCTGGATTCGAACCTGCCACCTCTGGTGTATATGGCTGGAGCCCTAGCTGCTTGAACTACAGATGCCAAGCCCTAAAGTCATTTCTTAACTTTTACAATTCTATATATTTTAGAATTGGTTGTGGGGGTTTATGGAAGAAAACAGTCCTGGGAGTTTTCCTATAGATGAAAGTTTAAAAATCACTAATTACGTCAATAATGGAAAGAGCATAAGAAACCGTGTTTTATAATCCATTGTAACAAATGTAGTCATTATGTTAGTCTACATTTTCAAATGTAATTGTGCTTTTATCGTGGTTATAGACCATTGAATGGATTAAATCCATTATTTCTTATTTCCACCCAAATATAATTGCAAATGTTTCTCTTGGCTATGCTTGCAATAGTTATTTTTAAAGCGTATATAGTTCATGGTTTGGTTTAGTCATTTAAAATAGATTACCACTTTTGTAAACTAGCCTTATCTAATCATTCCCCATTGATCTTTTATATAAATCTTTATACATATATAGTCATCTTCAGTATATGCAGGATATTGATTCCACAGATACCAAAATCCATGGATGGTCAATTCCCTGAAATAAAATGGTATAGTATTTGCATATAATCTATACACGTACTCCCATATACTTTAATCATCTCTAATTACCTAATGATACTATTCATAATACCTAATATAATGTAAATGCTATGTAAATAGTAGTCATGCTGTAGTGTTTTCACATTTCTGTTATTTTTGTATTGTCTTTTTTTTGAGATAGAGCCTCAAGCTGTTCCCCTGGGTAGAGTGCCATGGCATCACAGCTCACAGCAACCTCCAACTCCTGGGCTCAAGCCAGTCTCCTGTCTCAGCCTCCCAAGTAGCTGGGACCACAGTCACCCACCACAATGCCTGGCTATATTTTTTTGGTTGCAGCCATCATTTTTGTTTGGCGGGCCCGGGCTGGATTTGAACCTGCCACCTTAGATGTATGTGACTGGCGCCTTAGCCACTTGAGCCACAGGCACCAAGCCTGTATTGTCATTTTTTAGTTCGTTTTTTGATACTTTCTTTTTTTTTCTTTTCTTTGAGACAGAATCTCACTATGTCATCCTTGGTAGAGATTTGTGGCATCACAGCATTCAACAACCTTAAACTCTTGGGCTTAAGCGATTTTCTTGCCTCAGCCTCCCAAGTAGTTGGAACTACAGGCACCTGCCACAACATCCAGCTATTTTTTTTGCAGTTGTTTAGCTGGCCTGGGCTAGGTTCGAACCTGCCACCTTTGGTATATGTGGCTGGCACTATAACCATTATGCTACAGGCACTGAGCCATGGCTGTTTTTTATTATAGTTGTCATTGTTGTTTATCTGGCCCAGGCCAGGTTTGAAACCATTGTGCTACGCACTGAGCTGTTTTTTGAAACAGAGTCTCACTATGTCGCACCGGGTAGAGTGCTGTGGTATCACAGCTCACAACAACCTCAAACTCTTGGGCTTAAGTGATTCTCTTGCCTCAGCCTCCCAAGTAGCTGGGACTACAAGTGCCTACCACAGTGCTCAGCTATTTTTTGTTGTTGTCATTAGCTGGCCCAGGCTGGGTTTGAACCCGCCATTCTTGGTGTATGTGGCTGGTGCCATAACCACTGTGCTATGGGCACTTAGCCATTTTTGATATTTTCAATCTCTGGATGATTAAATCCATAGATGTGGAACTTATGGATATGGAAGGCCAGATACATTTTTATATATATATATTTTTTTATATGTGTGTTTATATATTAAACACATATTTATATATATACAACATACACCCAATGTGCATACATTTGTGTACATGTGTGGATGTGTGTATGTTTATATAAGCACATAGTATATCTTTTAACAAAATTAATTTTAAAGTGAACAATATGTAGCTGTTGCATTTAACAAGTTCCTACCACATAAAATTAGGTTTATGAGATTTATTATTTTACATTGTTGGAAGTATTACCAGTAAAAAATGTTTTTGTTTTCTTTCTTAGCCTCCATAGGACCAAGAGTGTAATAAGCAGAATGGTTAATTTGGGAAGCGTGGATGCCATTACTGCTTGAATTTGACATTATAGAGCAGCTATCCACACTATACCTATACCTATTTTGAACTATAGAGTCCAAAGGCAAAAGAACTAATTATATGAGTTTAATGCCAGCTACCCAATATTGTGTTTAGGCCAACAGCAAAGCCAGAGGCACTGAAAGTAATAACTTGTAACTTTAATAAACTTAATCAGAACTTGTCAGAACATCTAGAAGAAGCCATTTAAATTCAGCAGATATTTTTTTTTTCAATGTAGAACAAAAACTATTAAATTTGGTGAGGAATTAGCCATAGTTCTTTTTGGTGTTATAGACATCCAGAAAGTCTTTACTTTATTTGTCTTAAATTTATTCCACTCAGATGTGATAATATAGATTATTATAAATGTCAGTATGTGGTGCACTTCATATGGTAAGATGATGTGAACAATCTGCCATCAGTAGACATTTAAGTGAATTTTTCCTATATATTTACTGATTCATCCACTGTCTTACTCAGACCCTTTATTAACAAAGGTAAGCATTTGTGAACCAGTTGGCTGAAATAAAGGTACAACATAGTCTATTTCTGGAAATAAAAATCAGTTTATATCAAATCCTTCACCTTAGTTTCAGTATCAGAATGCTTCAACCAGCTAAGTCTAGCATTTTGTCTTTCTCATTACCATCAATCAAGCCTAGTCTGACTATAATTGGTTTGCATCTTCTGAAATAGCTTCAGTGAAAAAGCATTTATGTAAGCTAAGACTCTGTTGGCTTTTGGTCCCCTCCCTCCCCTTCTTTCTGCTTACTATCTATGTTCCCTCCTTCCAGGGTCATCACACTGAAACTGTGTTCAACCGAGTTTTGCCAGGGCCTATTGCACCAGAGAGCAGTAAGAAACGGGCCCGCAGGATGCAACCAGACCTTTCTAAGATGATGGCCCTGATGCAGGGTGGAGGCACTGGGCCCTTGTCTCTGCACAACACCTTCCAACACAGCAGTAGTGGCCTGCAGTCTGTGTCATCTTTGGGTCACAGTAGTGCCACTTCTGCATCTTTGCCTTTTATGCCATTTGTGATGGGTGGTGCAGCATCATCCCCTCATGTAGACTCCAGCACCATGCTTCATCATCACCACCACCACCACCACCCTCATCCCCACCATCACCACCATCACCATCAAGGCTTGAGAGCCACTGGCTACCCCTCTTCACCAGCGACTGCCACTTCTGGTACTGCCTTGCGGTTGCCACCACTGCAGCCTGAGGAGGAGGATGACGATGAGGATGAAGATGATGATGATTTATCTCAGGGCTATGATAGCTCAGAAAGGGACTTCTCACTTATTGATGATCCTATGATGCCAGCCAACTCAGACTCCAGTGAAGATGCTGATGACTGAAGCCCCAGCATGGTCCCATATTGCTTGGGTGGCTGCTGTATTTTCATTTACTCTGGCCCTTGGACTATGGAAACGTGGGAGGGGCAGGGGAGATGTGGGGAAACCCAGGACACAAGGAGGTGGAAAGAAAAAAAAAAAAAGAAAACTTATGCCTGATTGCTCCCAATTTTGAGAGGATTAGGTGGGCAGGGGAACTCCTAAAATATAATACGTGACTACTTCCTCATTTCTGGGGAAGGAAAGGAGACTAGAGCAGCTGGTGGGCTCTCCCCTCTCTAGGCACCTCCATTAACCACAGACTATGTAGCGCTGGCCCTAGCCTCTGGCAGAGCCTGTTCCTGGCCGAACTGTGGATACAGCTGGAGGGTCAGGAACTGTTACCTTCCTTCCCCTTGGCATTAATAAATTTAAGTTAATCCTTTTCCATTTTTCCCTTGCTCTGTATTTGCTGAAACCCAATATAAGTATTATTTTAAGAGGTGATGGTCATGGTGGGTAATTTCAACACCTTTTTCCTAAAGTTCCATACTGTTATACTGAGTTACCTTGGATACAGTAAATAAGTCATCTGTACCTCTCTAGAGGGTATATATAAATGTAGACTGTCCAGTTTGCTAATAGCAAAGGAATGGTTTAAGAGTAGGCAAACAGTTACAGTTTCAAACTCCCAAGTTCCTTGATAAGAACCATGTACATTTTGTTTCAAGAAAACAAACAATGGATGCTTTGGGGGAAGCCATAAAATAGTGTCACTTTTCATGAAGAACAAGGGGACTGGCCAACCAAAACGGTGTTGTAACCACTTGTACCTAGGGGAAGGGGGCTGTGGGAAAGAACCAAAGGTTTTTGGAGCACCCCCAAGTCATTGTTTCTCCCACTCTCCTACCACGTCACCGCTCGAATGAAGCCTGGGCATCTTATTCTCCTTGCTATGGCTAGATCTTTCCCCAAAACTAAAGGTTTATGGAGCCTCTCAAGCGATTGATTTCTCCGATTTTCCTACCATCCCACCTCTCAGACATCTTGTCTTAATTTCTACGGCTAAGTGCTTCCCCATAACTTGGGTCGGAGTTTATTGCAAGAATGGGCTCCATTTCTCTGACTGGAGCTCCGTCCTCAGTCACCGAGGATCCTTCCAGCCCTGAAGCAGTAGAAGCCTTTGCTTGCCGACCATTTCTAGGAGGGGCGCATACCCATTTCCCATTTATGCTGTAGTTTTTCCACTCCTATCCCGCGCCAGAGCCTGCTCTTTGCGCTCCCCCTTAATTTGCCGATAGGGTGGGGCCTGTACACCGCGCGTTGCAGTTCGTGTGAGGCTGGGCGGGCACTTCAGCCCCGCACTCTATGCTTCGCTTGCTGCTACAGTCCTAGAAACCGCGGCTCGGCTGAGAGTTAAGGGCGAAGGTGGAGCGTCACGTGATGACGTCGAGTCGCGTGAGGCTGTGGCGAAGTTGACAAGAAAACCCCGCGAAAATCGACTCTTTCTGCTTTTCACATTTTGTTGATTTTCCCACTCTTTTTCTCTCCTCCCCCAACCCCTGCCAGAAAGGATTTTTTAAAAAGTCCCCAACGTTGTCGGGACCCGGAAGCGGAAAGGGCATCTTTGAGGTCGATACTTCCGGGTCACTGAGAGAGTGCGGGATTCCGGGGCCGAGAGCGGGTGGCGGAGCCGGGACCTCGCGTGATTCTCGGAACCCGAGGAGAAGCGGCCTCTCGGGCTATGGCTGTGACTCTGGACAAAGACGCTTATTATCGGCGTGTGAAGAGACTGTACAGCAATTGGCGGGTGAGGAAGATCCCATAATTTTTCCTAGGGAGGCCCCCTCGGCCATCCCATAATAACCCTGTTTCTCGGCGCCTTTTTTTCTATTTCGGTCAGGAATTCCCGGGTTCAATGCGCGCCCCTTTCATTGCTCCCGAATCTTTCATCGCAGGCAGCCCCGAGCGCCGCCCCGTAACAGGGAATCCCCGGCAATCGCCCTGCCCTGCGGCCACCACCATCTTCCCCGCGTGCCAGCCGGGGTCATGTATAACAGCCACCTCTCTCAGTCTCTTCCCGCCCTAGAAGAGGCAGCGTCCTTCCCTCCCACTCTGTGATCACGTCTTGCTGCCCGCTCCTGCGGTGTTCACACGCACCCACGCACTCGTTTTGCCCCTTCTGACCCACAGTGTTCTGTTCCCAAGTCCTGCCAGCATTATAACCATCTTCGTGGAGGAAGGATGGAAGGGCAAGGGAAGATGTGAATCAGGCTCTTCGCGTTTATCGTTTGCGGAGCTTTTGCTGGAGTTAAAAAAAGAAATACTGCTCACGCGCAACCGCCTTATGTTCTAGGAGGCCCTGCCGTGGGTAACAGACCTAGCGTTGAAAACCTACAGACCTTAGAAATACCACCCCCCCCAAAAAAGAAAAAAACCGATGTGATGCTTAAAGTCTTAGTTTTCCTTCTTGTTAAGAGTATCCGGGGCGTGTGTTCAGAGAAACAGTTGTGGCAGTCTCCAGTCTTTTAAGGACGTCCACAGTTAAAACTTATTTTTATGGTACTAATTTATTAATTGAACAAACATTTCGTTGTATTCTGTGGTGTAACTTGAGCTGTCTAGTTTTAAGTCGGGCCTCCAAACCCTGTCATCGAGGGAAGATAACAACTAATAAAGACTTACTTTAAAACCTGAGAGATGTTTTGAGAAAAAATATCAATTCTCACTTCAATATTCATTGTAACTTATCTTTCAGATCGATCCTCTACTAAAACTAAGCTATTAAAATTGGTCATTTCCCTGCCATTCATATTAAAGGCGCATGTGTATGTTTTATCTTTTGAGGCTGAATGCATTAGATAATTGAAAATAAAAGGAACTCTCTTGCATTTTATGAAAAGCAAAAATAAGAATTCTGTGCTACTGGTAGGTTAATGCTGAACACAGATTTTATTTATTGTTTTTATAATTTTTTTTGAGATAGAATCTCACTTGGTTACCCTTGGTAGAGTGTGATGGCGTCTTAGTTCACGGCCACCTCAAATTCTTGGGTTCAGTTGATCCTCTTGCCTCAGCCTCCCAACTAGCTGGGACTACAGGCACCACCACAACGCCTGGCTTTTTTTTTTTTTTTTTAAAGAAAGGGTCTTGCTCTGGCTCAAGCTGGTCTCAAACGTGTGAGCTCAAGCAATCCGCCTGGCTCAGCCTCCTAAGTACTTGGGATTACAGGCGTGAGCCACTATGCCTGGCCCACAAATTTTATTTTTTTAATTTATTGGCTAATTTTTACCAAATGATTCTCTCACCATCATATAATTATATCTGAACATCATCCATGTTAGAAAAACTTTTTGAAGCTCTAATGTTTCAATGATCGATAAGAACTAATGTGCTGGTAATAATCAGAAGCTGTTTCTTCTACCATTAAACCCTGAAACAATACAGCTTTGATGCAAAAAGGGATTTCTTTTTGGATAGTCCCCAGTGATTCATAAGTCATTAAATTATTTCATTCTCCCTATACCATTCATGAAAACTAAAATTATTGTATAGCTCTACTTCCTTACATCCTAGGTTAATTAATGCAAAGCATGAAACTGGTCTATATAGGAAAAACTGACCTGAAGACAGATTAGCAATCTTAATATCAAATGACAATCCTCAAATCTGTGACAGTTACGTTACTCCCAGCCTTCCATTCTTTTTTTTTTTTTTTTTAATTTAAACCTCTCATTCTTTTTTCTCAAAAAGTTTATATTTGGCTGGGCATGGTGGTTCACACATGTAATCCTAGCACTCTGAGATACCTAGGCAGGATAATCACCTGAGTCAGGAGGGAGATTCTGTCTCAATTAAAAAATATTTAAAAACTAGCCAGGTTTGGTGGTGCCTGTGGCTCAAAGGAGTAGGGTACCAGCCCCATATACCAGAGGTGGTGGGTTCAAACCTGGCCTCGGCCAAAAACTGCCAAAAAAAAGAAAAAACTAGCCAGGTGTTGTTGGCATCTGTAGTCCTAGCTCCTTGGGAGGCAGAAGCAAGAGAATCAGTCACTTAAGCCCAAGAGTTTGAGGTTGTTGGGAGCTATGATGCCACAGCACTTTACCAAGGGACAGTAAAACTGTCTCAAAAAAAAAAGTTTATGTTGGCTTTTTTTGTTAGTTTTGAGACATGGTCCGGTTCTGTTGCCCAGTGTAGAGAGTTCACTGTGCTGATCATAGCTCACTGCAGTCACACTCCTGAGCTGAAACTGTCCTGCCTCAGCCTACCAAATAGCTAGAACTACATGCCTGCCACCACATCTGGGTGATTTTTCAATTTTTAGTACAGAGGTGCAGGGCTATTGCTCAGGCTGGTCTAGAACTTCTGACTCAAATGATCCTCCCACCTTAGCATCTAGGAGTGCTAGGATTGCAGGCATAAGTCGTGGAGCCTTACGCCTGTTGGCTCTTAATTTAGATGATGGTAAGTCATCTAAGACATTGATGGTATAAAGTTATGAGCCAAGTTTATGTATCAGCAAACCCTGTTGCTAATTATTATAAATTTATTTGTATATGTATGGTTTTTAAAGCAGTATGACCATCTTTGTAAAGGAAGGATAGAAAGGGAAAGAAGGATGTGAATCAGGCTCTTCGTGTTTTATCTGCTTATCCTCCTAGCTGTATCAGAAAGATAGTAGAGAAGGTGCCGTAGCTCAGTTGGTAGGGCTCTGGCCACATACACCCAGGTTGGCCAGTTCGAGCCCAGCCCAGGCCTGCTAAACAACAACAACTGCAACAAGAAAAAATAGCTGCGCATTCTGACAGGCACCTATATTCCCAGCTACTTGGGAGGCTGAGGTAAGAGAATCGCGTTAAGTCCAAGAGTTTGAGGTTGCTGTGAGCTGTGAGCCACAGCACTCTACCAAGGGTGACTAAACAACAATGACAACTACAACAACAACAACAAAAAATAGCTGGGCATTGTAGCGGCTGCCTATAGTCCCAGCTATGTGGAAAGCTGAGGCAAGAGAATCGCTTAAGCCCAAGAGTTGTGTGTTGCTGCAAGCTGTGACTCTACAGCACTCTACTGAGGGTAACATAGTGAGACTATGTCTCAAAAAAAAATAGAAAAGAAAAAAAGTTGAGATTGGAGTGGGAGATGAAGAGAAGTTGACTAATGGGTACAAATACACAGTTTGAGAGAAGTAGTAAGTCCCAGTGTTAGATAATAGGATAGCAATACTTTATAAAAATCTGTTGTATACAGAGTGTCCATAAAGTTCGTGTGCAGTAACTTTATAGACATTCTGTATTTCCAAATAGCTAGAACAGAAGAACTGGAATGCTTCTAGCATAAAGGAAAGACAAATATTTAAGGTGATGGATATCCCATGTACATTGGTCTTTACAAACTATATGTGACCGTATTAAATCATCACATGTACCCTGAAATGGTGTACGTTATTATGCTTTTTTTGCAACAAAAAAATAACTGGGCATTGTGGCGGGTGCCTGTAGTCCCAGCTACTCAGGAGGCTGAGACAAGAGAATCGCTTAAAGCCCAGGAGCTGGAGGTTGCTATGAGCTGTGTGACACTACCCAGGGCGATAAAGTGAGACTTTGTCTCTACAAAAAAAAAACTATCATTAAGTGAGGGAGGAAAATGGGGATTGAGATAAGAAAATAACTTAAAATAGTGAAAATCCCAAGCTTTGTGCTGTCAGTTCCCATCTTCAGAGAAATCTCAGACTAAAATTAACTAGCTCATGCCTGTAATCCTAGCACTCTAGGAGTCTGAGGTAGATGGATTACCTGAACTCACAGATTCAAAACCAGTCTGAGCCAGAGCAAGACCTTGTCTCTAAAAATAGCTGGGCATTGTGGTGGGTACCTATAGTCCCAGCTACTCCGGAGACTGAGACAAGAGAATCCCTAGAGCCTAAGAGTTTGAGGTTGCTGTGAGCTATGACACTATAGCATTCTGCCAAGGGCAACAAAGTAAGACTGTCTCAAAAAAAAAAAAAAGCAATTTAGGGCAGCACCTGTGGCTCAAAGGAGTAGGGCACTGGCCCTTATGCCGGAGGTGGTGGGTTCAAAACCAGCCCCTGGCCAAAAACTGCAGAAAAAAAAAAAAATTTACTAAAAAATTTGCTGGTTTGTGGGTGGCCCCTGTGGCTCAAAGGAGTATGGCGCCAGCCCCGTATACCAGAGGTGGCAGGTTCAAACCTAGCCCCGGCCAAAAACTGCAGGAAAAAAAAAAAAATTCACTGGTTGGGCTCCACACTCACTTTTTAGTTTTAGATACTCCTGATTATAAACTTTTAAGGGATATGTAGTTGCCCCTAGAGTTCCAGCTCTACAAATACAAAAAAGTACATGGAGTTGTAGAGAAAACTGATAAGCTTCTAAATTCTTTTTACCTTTTTTTTTTTTGAGACAGAGTCTCACTATGTTACCTTCAGGAGAGTACTGTGGCATCACAGCTCACAGCAACCTCAAACTCTTGGACTTTTTTTTTTTTTTTTTTTGCCGCCCGAGTCTCACTATGTTACCTTCAGGAGAGTACTGTAGCATCACAGCTCATAGCAACCTCAAACTCTTGGACTTTTTTTTTTTTTTTGAGACAGAGCCTCAAGCTGTCCCCCTGGGTAGAGTGCAGTGGCATTACAGCTCACAGCAACCTCCAACTCCTGGGCTCAAGCGAGTCTCCTGCCTCCGCCTCCCAAGTAGCTGGGACC